TAGAAGGCAGTATCCAAAGTCCGATTTAGGTGATGATGAGCGTGATCAACCTTATGAAATCGTTCATGTAAGGCCAGTATCAGCCCATGATTAACACACTGTGGTACTGATCAAAACTTCCATATAGCATTAGTAAAACACGACAACAACACGAGGTAAGCTAAGTGAAGAGAAAAGAGGAATCTGGCAGGAAATGGCTACCATATGTGGCCTCAGTATGGCTGGGTTGTTCACTCTGCTGGGAGAATTAGGCTGTCAGCACTGGACTCTGTCTGCCAAACATAACAGTGGGGAATGACAAGACACCCCTCTGTCTGTTCCTTCCTCTCTTGCCTTATTCATTCGTATTTGTACTTTACTTCATCATGAAAATACCAGAGGTTTTTAATTATCTCACCTAAATTATACCGCACTGAATGGCTGCACAGAGGAAGTATGCGCATTTAGATGTTACATTTCAAAATGAAAATTATCCCTTTCAACCACTGTCATGAAAAGCATAGATAGCTGAACCTGAACCTGAAGAATTAAATTTTCAAAAGGACCTGACATTTAAAAAGTAAAGGACAGGGGAGAGGTAGAACAGACAGAGGGAAACAGTGTTTTTATCCCAGGCAACACAAGCGGCCTCTTCAGAATGAGAGTGGGATGAAGCTTCATAATAGTCTGATCTGAGTCAAATGTTTGACCTGGAACATGGACTGACAGCAAGTTCAAGGTGTCTTGTACAGCCACATAATATCAGAAGAGATACGGACTCTGAATCCAGCCTTTCACATTTAGGTGAAAAATAGTGACACTTTCTACTGTCTCATCTCTCTGCAGCCCAAAATAAATACTGATGTTTTCACTTTAATGCTGTTAAGTCAGCTATCACTCTGTGGATGAACCTTAATTTACCGATTTCAAACTGGCTGTCACCATTGTGATAAAGTAACAATAGTAATAAAAGTAATATTAATAACAGGAGGCAGCACCAGAACAGGAAGAGGCAGAAGGATAAGAAAGTAGAAGAACAGGTAAAGGTGGAGGGAGATACACAGGAGGGAGAAAAGAAAGACCATGAAAGCAAACCCCAAGGTGGTGAACATTCATTCCAGTGAAGGTTGCTCACCCAGGACAATGGTCATGTGACTGAAATGGGGAGCTGACCACTGCTAGTTATTCTTACAGTGTTACATTGTGGATATGGGATGGGAAACTCCAAACATCAGATATGTAGCGTACATACCTGGCCTGGCATCAGTCACAAGCCATTAAGGAAGTTCATTGTAAGGACATGCAGAGTTATGGATCCAAAATTGACACTTTGTGACTCTTCCCACCATCAAACTATCAAACTGATAGGAAACAGAGACAAAGGACCCCTCTTCCACAAACAGCTCCAGAGGATCAACCAATGGACACCAGGCAACTGGAGAATATAGGCAAAATCTCCAGTTTGTAACAATAAGACTCTGTCTAATGATATTTGATTGTTTCTTGTATAGGACAAGTAACAACAAAAGGACTGATTAACACTAAGGTGTGAATCCTGGCCTCTCTGTGCCATGCATGAACACACACACCAACCTCCCTTCCTCTGTCCCTCTCTAGATAAGAGTCATAAACTACAACCCACATTCCAATCCTGGGTAGTGACCAGCAGAACTCTCTTCACAGACACAGATCTAAGGAAGAATGTAAAATTAAATATCTAGCTGTTCTGTAACTCATGAGATGTTCCTATGCAATAGTTTAATCCCAAACTTCTATCCCATAGAATGTTTGAAATGTAACATGTAGATTTTAAGACAATGTCCTTCATGTGACCATACTGTCAGCATCCTTCACACAAGGTAACACACACTACATGACATCCAGCATGTCCATATTATTATTATTACAGTCAAAGAACTGCTGTGTAATCCACATTTATAGACTATTAGCTTTAGGAAATGTTTATATTGTTGTTTGATCAGTTAACCACTTGTATCATGATTAATTCCAGGTTTGAAGGATGTAATATGAAATCAACCCTCCTATTACTCCTCTCTGCCATTATTAGTGTGAGTAGTTTTCTATGTTATTTCACTTAATGTTTTGTGGTCATGGTGGAAGACGGATGTGCAAATTTATAAGTAAACTCTAGATTTAAATTATTCCAAAGTTCAGTGGAAAATTACTCTCTTCTCCAAGTGGAAACACAGGAGACGACGGGTGACGCCCCTGAAACATGCGCCAGCCCCCAGGGGATAAAACAGTCGTGATCAATTCACACATGTTCAGAAAAGTTGGAAGAAGGAAAAGTTAAAGATGCTAAGAAGGAAGAAGATGCGAGAAGCGAGAAACGAAGCTAAAAGCTAGAGGCTGAAAAGCTGAAGCTAGAAAACGATGCAGAAACTAGAAGCTGAGATCTTTGCTCAAAGCTCAGAGTCCCGACTCAAAGCCCGGCTCTGTAGCCATGGAAACTCCTAGCTCTAAGCTGCTAGCCACAAACTCATGGCTCTTAGTCATTTTTGCACTTTGCACAGCAGATAACACCTCTGCACGACCACATGCAGAGAACCCTACCAGAAATCAAGAGTGCCCGAGACAGAAAGTCTCCTGGCAAACTCCACCAGAGCTGAACCGCTGAGACACCGGCAGAATCTGTCATCGTGATAACGGGACACGGCCTCCAGGAGAATCCACCTAGATCCTGCAGCTCCGGGGTTACCACGGCAACCACACCCACCTGGGTTCCAGCCGAGGGTCTCCAGCTACAGCGCAACTCACAGTAGGCCAGTCTTAACACTCTGCTCATGACTGGGTTGATGTCGAAATATAGTAATATTTAATCATCAAACCTAATTCGTAGATGTAGCATCATTAGCTGTATAGCCATAGTGTATAGCCATAACATATTCTCTCCCACCATTGCCAACTCATCACACTGCTCATTTCATTATTATTTTCATCTTTATGATTATTACACAGCCACCTGGGTTCCAGCCGAGGGTCTCCAGCTACAGCAAGGCCGGTAGTAGGCCGGTCTTAACACTCTGCTCATGACTGGGTTGATGTCGAAATATAGTAATATTTAATCATCAAACCTAATTCGTAGATGTAGCATCATTAGCTGTATAGCCATAGTGTATAGCCATAACATATTCTCTCCCACCATTGCCAACTCATCACACTGCTCATTTCATTATTATTTTCATCTTTATGATTATTACACCTTGCATTTACTCTGTAGATAGTAGTTTAGTTAATAAACTCCTTTATTTACACCCAGTTGTTGTCCTGTTGTTTTCTTTTGATGTAGAGACTGGAAATCCATTGAATCAAGAAGTCATGGCTTCAGATATGAGATTGATAAATTTGGCAATGAAGTAATTCATTGTTGTCCTCCCAGAGGACTGGTGCCCCATTTCAGCGAGAGTAAATTCTAAAATATGGCGTTAATACTACAGATATATACTGTATATACATAATAGTGACTCAAGAGAGATCTTTACCTGAGCTGTTGTGCATGGACATACCTGGAGCAGTGAAGTGAAATCTCACACAATAATATTATTGATGCTCAGCGCAAATTGTTCCTAATGTACGAAGAAAGATAAAGATGGTATGTGGATGCAAATCCATATGACATATATGACTTTACAGAGTAAAGACTTTCTCAAAAGAGAGTTTAATTAAAAGTCAAAGATCTGTGTTCACTGGAGGTAAATTACCATTATCTACATGAACAGGCGAGGTGGCTGGTCTCTCTGAAGAGAACAAGTTCTGTTTGTTACAGTATGTGATTTGGATGAGATTAAAGATGAAATCCATTTATTCTTTTACAAACTACAACTACTTTGTCAAAACTAAACAGAGCTGAATGAAAGGACTGCTGTGTTATATAAACCCCACTGCACATACTCACTCGAGTGTCTTTCCCTATAGCCTCGCCTGCTTGGTCCTGCTCAGCCCAGACACTTTATGCTGAGGTGATGAAAATAGTTTCATATCAAAAACCGTATAAAACCATAATACAATAGCTGAGGTTTCCCGTCAACGTTTTTACAGTGGTTAACACTCACAGTTAGAAGGCTCTGGTTTTGAACCTGCTGGGGCCTCCTGATGTGTTGTTAGTATGCTCTCCCCACATCTGTGTGGGCTCCCTCCCTCAGTCCAAAGACATGTAGGTTAAATGGCAACTCTAATTTTCACATAGAGCGTGAGTGGTTGTCTGTCTCCATGTGTTCAGCCCTGTGAATGATCTGCCTCTCGCATAATGTGATCTGGGATTGGCTCCGCCCCTGCTGTGGCCTTTAAGGATGAGTGGGTATAGCTAAGGAATGGAATGGATGGATGGATGGATGGATGGATGGATGAATGGATGGATGGATGCTTGCCACCATTGGTGTATGAGTATGTGTTTGACGGGGTGAATGAGAGTCAAACTGTAAAGCACTTTGCATAAAAGCACAACATAAACGCACTCTATTTAACGTAATGCTTTTTGGCCGCGGTGGAATTTTTTGTTGTAGTTCCGCAGTTGGCCACTTGGACAAATTTGCAGGAAGGTTGACTCATATCCAGCTCTTTTAAAACATCTATATAGTAGACAAAATATGAAGGGAGAAGAGGAAGAGGGAGAGGAAGAAGATCTGAACAAGAGCAAAAAGAGGAAGAAGAAAAGGAAAAGGAAAAACAAGACTGGGACAAGAACAACGAGGAGGAAGATGAAGAACACTGAGATTAAGAGGAGGAGGAGGGAGACAAGAACAATGAAACAAAAGAAAAGTTGTCTTGACATAATAAAGTATTATGCTGTTTTTTTCTCTGGCTCTGAAGAACACAATAAAGGGGAAAATGAATGATCCACAGAAATAAATATAAAGTGAACAGCTCTGAAAATGAAGATTGAGAGCAGTGTCATCTCATTTTTGGGCATGCAACAAAACTTGAGAGATATGAGGATATGGAACAGTGAGGTAGACCTGATGACAAAGCAACTGTGCAGCACAGCCTCTTTTTCTACTTACCAGTGTGGTGAAGATATAGTGATAATACTCTGTCATCATCCCCATGGCGAGAGCCTAAGAAAGAAGGTGACAGAAAGAGGCAGAGAGAGATTGGGATAGGGAGAGATTTATAAATGAATAGGGAGGCAGATACAATATTTTGTCATATTTTGCACACATGCACATACAAATGCATTTGTCTGTTTGTGTGGCTGTCTGTGTGGCTGTATTACCATGTAATGTGAAGAGGCATATATTCTGCTACACTTCTGCAGCCACAGGCTCAGACTTAAGAAACAAACACCCACCCAAAAGAAAAACAGCCAAATAAAGCAGGAGATAGAGCGCAGTCTTATTATATATTTGGCATATGTAGGGAAACAGACAGAGTAATGCATGATTTGTAGACATGGGACATCTGGATCATTGTCAGAAACATGTATAAGGAAGACGCCCTGCAGTCACAAGGTCCATGGTGGAGTTGTTGTTGTTGTTTTGAAGCAGCTGTTTATTTGAAAAAACCCACAAGTGACATGTGACAAACATTACACAAACATGGTGTGTAATATGAGGCTTCCAGTGCAGGCTCTGTTTGTAACAGGGTCTATTGGCACAGCCAACCAAGAAATAGAGCAAGCAGCTGTTATTGGAAATAAAAGAACATAAGATATGGTTTAACAGATTTCAACATTACTGTCTTGGGACAGGGTTACTTGATGATTAACTAATCAAGAACAAAAACATGCGTCAGCACATCCAAGTCTGATGGTATCATGGATGTTCCCTACAGCCACAAACCACACTGGAACTGGGTTCACTAGACATGTTTTCAAATTTGTTTATACTGTCATTGATTTAACATATGAATTGAACATATGAATAATAATATCCACCACCATTCTTTCAATACCTTACTGTTACGGCCACAGCCAGCCCAGCACCCTGCTATGCGGAGAAGGCTTGGTGGGCCCTGCTTCATGACCGGCTGAGATTACCGGGGGGGGAGGGGGGGGGGGGGTTAGACCTCATGTGCTTTGTAAATGTTGTGACTAGTTTTTGTGAATTGAGATAGTTGTTTGTGTTGAAGGGAACTGGACTAGATGTTAGTTGTACTCTGAATTGATTGCGCATCACACACAGACTTCAGCTTGTTGGTGACACTAGGAATTGGAGTGCTGCTTGCTACGGTTTTTGCTTGTTTTTTGAGAGTGCAAAAAGGTCTTTGTTTGTCATTTTATTTTTAGTTTAGAGTATAAAATTCTCATCTCAGTTTAAGCCCTCTTTCTGTTGTTTGTTTTTGATTTAAGCAGCATCCACTTGTCCTGTTCCCCTCTTTGATTACCTTTGTTTACCCTCCTTGCTACCCAATAAATTTTGCTTCCCCAATTCCAACTGGTTATGTTGCTTCCCTTTTCCACAATTGCGAGCTGGGTTGTAACACTTACTCTGAGAAATACTTGTACGCTCCTTTATTTAATAAAAACAGCAAAGCTTCTACAGTCCTAGAAGTTCTCTAAGCACAAGCCTTAGAAAAGATCAAATCTGATTAAAGTCAGGAAACATTTGATCAAAGCAAAGCTAAGGCAAATAATGAATCTCAACAGACCTGATGCCACTTTTTGATACAAAATGCTACAGTCAGTACAAAAAGTATTTAAGTTCAATACCCAACCTGACAAGAGTGATAGTAAGATGGAGAATAAGACTGACAGGCAAATAGTGTTTTACATTACATACATGTCATTACTGAACCAGAGACTCTTAATTTACCACTCAATCTATATTCCAGCTTTCACCTACAGTCATGAGCTTCAGGTAGATCAAAAGCATGAGATCAACCTCAATGAGTTCTGGTCACCCTCAGATATATGGGGTAAGGAGCCCTCACCGCTGTTCCTTCACATTAAGGGTGTTCCCTGGAAACTTCCCTGTGGAGGTAATGGACAAGAAGACCCATAACACGCTGGAGGGATTATATATCACACCATTGTATCCCTCAGAGAGAGTTAGACCACACGGCTGGGGAGACTTTAAGTGGCAAAGTATGACTGGATGGACAATCAAACATTTGCTTTGCAAGTCTGACACAGCAGTGGCATCAGTAAAACAAAGGACTATATATCTGGTGGTCACTGCTGTTTAAAATGTGTCAACAGAGACACCAGAGTCATATGAATACCAGAAGTGAGTCTGGACACAGAGAGGGAATCTTGATTGCAATGGGGAAACAGCATTCTGCTGTTGCAGCTCCATTTTCTATTTTAGGTTGATTTGATGAAAAAGTTTTACATGAAAATCTGAGTTCTGCCTTGTTCATGTTCAGTATGAGTCAGACTTTTTGTCATCTGTCTGCAATTGCCACTCCTCTTCTGAAGCGACTCTAGTAAGTTCGCTGACAGGAATATGTACTCATTTGCACCATTACCAAGGCAATCTGTCTCTAAAAATGCACCTCTGAGATGAGATTCTAAAGTAGAATCACCTCGCTCCGTATTATCATCCAGACTGTGTATGTGTGTGTGTGTGTGCAGGCTGTGTGCCACCACATTCCACCTGTATGTAGCTATATAGTGGCACCAGAGTCCCACCTGCCGTGCTGAGACTCACTAAACCAATATGAATCACAGATTAGGACTGTGTGCAGAGGATGATTAAACAGGCAGGAAGGGATAATGGCTGCTGGCATCAGGTGGGAAACCTTCAGAGACTACAGCCTTCCGTCTGAGGACCAGCCCACTCAGTGGTGATTCACATGGTGCCATTTCCTGGATCTCGAGATGACAGATGAGTGCCACAAACCTTTCAGAGATTCTGTGGGCTATCTATATTCCCAATTTTTGATTTCAGTGAAAACAAATCAATAGAGAAACACATACTGTTCAGTTATAATAGCTATTAGATTTCAAAACATCCATCAAAGCTACCCACAAGACAGAAAAAGCACTTACTGCTTCTGTTGTAGCACTTAAAGGTGCATACAGACACAACTCAAAGCAAATTCTCCTTTCACTGTATTCACATAAATTTTACAAGTAAAACATTTATAAAATCTGTGCTTCTTGGTGACACAATAGGTCTGTCTACCCAAGCCTAAAAAAAACGGAAATACTCTCTTCAAAACCATATGTAAGTGAACATACAGTGGGCAACATTGAAATGATACATTATAAAGACTGTGATTGAGTCTGTCTGAAAGTAGAGACAAATGAAATGTTGGGAAACAGGTTTTTGGTCACTCACAATGACAGCCAGAGAAGAGAGGAAAACTTAAAGGGATAGCTTGGGCTTTTTGACTCGGGGTTGTGTGAGGTAGTCAAATATAGTCAACACATTACCTACAGCAGATTATGATGAGGGCGGTCCCAGGTAGGAAAGCCGACCCATGCACTGATAGAGTGGCAGAGTGATGTGTTGCTGTGCACGGGGCCACTGAGAAAAAACTGGTTTTAGACACTTTTAAAAAGGCTCACCGAAACAATCCAGTATCTGTTTAAATGTAGCTTCATGTAGAATATTTTCAGCGGTTTATCTTTTTGTGAAAACATCACTTTCCTTTTGCACTACATTTTTTTAACCACTGAACTACTGTATTCCTACGCACAAGCGCACCTGAAGAGCACACTGTATTATGCCTCTTTCTGATTCAATTACCTGACCTGTGGCTGTGGTGTAATACAAGTGCGCTTGTGCGTAGGATAACGGTAGTTCAGCAGTTGCAAAAATGTCTCTAAAACACGTTTTTTTCTGGGTGCCCCTTGCATAGCAACACATAGCTCTGCCGCTTGGCCCGTCGGCTCTCCTAACTGGGGCCACACTCATCATGATCTACTGTAGGTACGTTGCTCTGACAAAAGTTAAACAACAGAACTCTAAAGGTTCAGAACTACTCTGAAGCGAATGTTCAAGTGTTATTTGCTAGACTGCTCGTGAAGTCTATCCTTATTCACACCAAACACACGATGTGTCGACTGTACAGATGTTAGCTAGAAGCTAGCTAGCAACATACACGTGTTTGTGTGACAGCTCAGCCTCTGACTGATCTCAGAACTCACCAGAACTCCAGCTCTGTTATTCTCACCTCCAGTTTCTGTCCTTCCTCCTCTTATTTCTGTACATTTCTGAAGTAATGCTCAATTCTACAGGTGTGTTCAGACAGAAGTGACCGCTCGCTAAACCCTGCCCCCCAACAGTGATTGTCCAGTCACACCTTAGCAACCTTTACACAGCAGGCCTGTCAGACTTTAGATTTCTTCAGGATTCCATTTATGTATCCATGAAAGCCGCAAATGTTAGCATAAATCCAACCTGTGTTGCTTCTCCAAAGCAACATAAAATATGTGTCCAAATAAGGTATATGTTTCTTAGCATCCAAACCATTCGGGTTATGTTAGAGCAAATAACAATCTAATTATATGTTAATTATTATACTGTGCTATAATACCAGGGCTAACAGGCTCTACCCTCAACACACAAACAATGCTGCAACCTTTGAGCATGGTATCATGTTCCATTAATGTAGCAGTCTTTTTAAAACTGATTTCTGATGTCCTTGGCATCAGAAATGAAATGTTTTCCTAACCACTGAATCCACTTTCAGCAATAACTTTTATGTTATTGATTTGCACAAAATGATGAACTTTTGTTCAGTGAGTGAACCCTAAATATACAGCATTCCAAAGGAATATTTAACCACAGTTTTCCCCTACCAGTCTTTGGGCAACACGTCTCGGGCCAATCTCTGTACTAGAAACACAGAAATCAACATGTTGTTGTCCTTGTGTCTACAGTATTTGGCTGACAGCTGATGAGGAGTACTTACAATCTCTAACTTAATGGTGTGTCGCGTAATGAGAATATCAGAGCAAGACAGTTAAGTCTTTCATTACCTCTCATTAGCAGGGTTTCTCTATGACATTATTAATGAAAGGAGTCCTTGACCTTCCATAGCAATCTACCACTCAGGCATTGATTAAAATCCCTAGGAGATAGACAGAGTGCTGGGGGTGAATCATGTTGTCTTAAATATTTGATAAATCCTACAAGCAAGAGATGCTTGTTAACTGAGTTACTCATTG